CTGGACTTAGGCTAACCCGAGAGTAAGTATCCAGCCTTGTATTCTAACTTTTACTAATTTTTCCCCAGGCCTTCTCCAAGACCCAATTTTTTTCCTCCACTCTATGGGCTATAACTATTACTTCATTCAAAGTTTTGGGCTTACTCAAACGTAACTCAACCTTGATTTTCTCTTTAAGTCCATTTACAAAACTGCCCACTAGTACTTCTTCTCCTACCTCTGTAAGTGGCACTGAGTAAGCTTCAAATTGTTCACAATATTCAGTCACAGTTCCCTATTGTTTTAATGTGATTAAGGCCTCACAAGCGGTTCCCTTGAATGATGGTTGAAATCGCTCAATCAAAATGGATTTGAAGTTTGCCTAACTTCTCACAGGTGTCCGAGCATCTATCCACTAGTACCAATTCAAAGCCCGACCCTCCATACATACGGCAGCAGCCTTCACTTTCTCCTCTTCAGCATATCGATTAATAACGAAATACCTATCAGCCCTAAAAGTCTAGCCGTATGGATCTTCTCCATTAAAGACTGGTAAGTCCAACTTCTTAATTTTCCTATCATCTCTGTTACTTTTTCCATTAGAGTTTTTCGTCCCCGTCACCTTACTCTTCTCACTACTATGGCTAGCCTCTTTTTCATCTTTGGTCCTCATCCACTCCCTAAGCTTCAGGAGGTAGTCCTTAAGGTTACCCATGTCTTCCTTCAAACTCACCAGATCTCCCTTCACCGTTCCCATTTCTTTCTCCATTCCTTCCATTTTATTCTCCATTTTCGATTTAACCATTCCCCAAAACACTGGCTCTGATACCAATTTGATACAAACCTCAACTCCAGTAATAATTCAACAACACAATGCAAGCAATCCAGCAATCTCAACACACAGATTCAACATGAAACATTCAATTTAAGAACATATTGATTCACTTACTTGAATATAATGTCAATAATGCAGAAATGAAAGACAAAAATTGAAGATAGAATTGCTAACAATTCGAGGAGTCAGCGGACTCCCTTAGGATTCCCTTTTACACAAAATACAATCTGCCTTTTATGAGCAAATCCCCCCTTTTTATATACACATGAGTTTTCCCAAGGCAACCTACCCCACTAAGACACGTGTACAGAATCCTAACTAATTCTCGCGGCCTCTAGTCACGCTCTTCCTATGTCCTCTAGTCATGCTCTTGGTCCTTCTCCCTTGCCTCTGATATCTTTTAGTAATGAGTGGCCTATCAGAATCACAATTGTTGTTATATTAAGTTGAGATTTATAATTATTGATGGTAGAGATATTGCTGAGAACAGGCACCTGCTTTTTTTTTGCGGTAAACTTGAAACAGGTCTTGGATGAACTATTTAGTAACAGTAAACCTTCTTCATACTTCTTACAGGGAGATCAGTATTGCGGACCAGGTAGATTATCTAATCAAGCAAGCATCAAGTGTGGATAATCTTTGCAACATGTATGAAGGATGGACACTGTGGGTTTGAATTTGAACATGTGAAGTATGTGCATTCTCAATAGAATTAGTGTCCTGAGTTATATATGGAAGCATTGTTGAGCATGTCAGAGCCATTTCAATTACTTGTCTCACTAACTTAGCCTTGAGTCTGAAACTCTTCCCTGTCTCTGGGACTAAGCCTTCTGCAAAAAGAATTATCTCTTGGCTTTAGGACCCTGGTATTTCTGCTGAAGAACCTGCTATGAATCAGTACCAGTTGCTTAAAAAGATGCCATCTAATCATGCTCTATTTAGTAATGATTTCTTTCAAGGGAAGATTTTTTAGACTCTGTTTTTGTTCCAATCCTTTTCTAGGATCTCCTTTCAACATGGTCTCCCTTGTGACAATTTAAGTTGGAAAGATACCTCAGGGCTCTGAGATGGATTCGAATTCGATGACTATTTAAAGTGCTCGACAGCTTGAAACCGTCCCAAGATGTTACAACAACCGCAGCTACCCATATGGGAGTTACTTTTTGGCAGGTCTCAACCTTGTCAGCTCATCGCCTGCTCCTTTCTAAACGAAATTCCAGGAGAATTTTCGCTTGGACAACTCTTAACATGGAGGATTTCCATTGCAAGTCAAAACTGCTTCCCCAGTGAAGGCACTAAGTTGGACATTGAAAGTAAAATATTACTCTTATCTCGTGAGAATTCACTGGTTGAAATTAGTACAGATGTATTCTTAATCATTTTAGATAAAAAAAATCATGCTCTACACATATACGATCTTGTCACATAAATAAATACAACTTAAGAAGCTTATATTTGCATGTTATTTTGTAATGGTTATAATATTATTGCTATGGCTACTCGTGAATCATGGCTATTATTAGAATGAACATTAGCTATTTTTATGCATTCATCACTTTTTTCTTTATTTATAAGTAAAAAGGTGAAAGAAAAAAATAATAATAATAATCTAATTGGGTGAAATATCAAATATCAAAGAAAACTAAACAAAGCCAATCATACAAAATGTTAGCATTAGGGTTGAGCAGGTTTGGGTACCTGGCTCAATCCCATGGAGTTGGACCCAGACTTAGACTTCGTGGTTCCTAGAATTTAGGAAACGGACCCAACGATTTAGGTTCCTAAATGCCTGGAACTGAAACACAGGTTTCGAGCTTAGGTACTTGACACTGTTCGCGAAAAATTACAAATACATTTCCTTTGTTCACAAAAATGACATATTCTATAGAAATTACAAATAACCCCTAATTTTTTATATAAATTACAAATATACCTTGGTTTTGATTCCAGATCTTTGGTCTGGGTTAGGTTTGTAAAGTGGTGGAACCTAACTTGGACTTATAAAGTGCTAGTTCCACAAAATTTAGGATTGGAACTGATCCTGTGAAGGTCTATTCCAGGTAGGAACTAAAACTGACAATCTAGCTACCCATCAATTCTGGTTCTACCCTAAAAATTTGCACACCCCTAGTTAGCATGGTGCATCTATATTTACCAAAAGAATGTGGAGATCAATAAGAAGTAGGGGTGAGCACGGGTTGCGTGTAGAACCAGAACCTGTGGATAGAATTGAAACCGAAACCTACCCAAAACCGACACCGTGCGGTTAGGTTCCGGTTCCATTTTTTAGAACTGACATTGTGTGGTTTCGGTTTCGGTTTCGGTTCCTACATGTGGAGGAACCGGAACCGAAAATAGAACCTATAAAAAAGAACCTACAGCGGGTACCCAGCTTGGAACCTGTAACGGGTACCCACCTTGTTTTGGAACCTAGACTAAAATAAAATACCTATGAAGAATAAGGGGTCTATTGTAATTTTACATATAAAAAAATTAAAATGGAAAAAGTTAAATTTTTACAGTAACCTAATTAAATAAATATACAATTATACTTATTACATATAAACTACACCATATACTAAACTTTAATATATTATAATATATTAATATATTAAAGTTTTGATTAATTAAGTGTATAATTGGAATTAAGACCAATTAAAAAAATTATTTTTGAATAGAAGAGTATATTTGATTGAATAATAATATATTATTTAGTTATTTACTTCAATTATCAAGTTCTAAGTATATCTATAGTAAATTAGTAATTAATTAATTATATAAAATAAATTGATAAACATTAATATTTTACTAGTTAAATGATTATTTAATCAATTATAACATTATATTATAGTTAAATGATTACTTAATAAATTATAAGTTTATAACATTACATTAGTGATTTAGTACATTATTTAATTAAATAATTAGAAATGTAATTAATTATAATCTTACATTATAGATTTATAGTATAATTACTTAATTAATTATAATATTACATTATAAACAAATGATTACTTAAATTAGGTGCGAAGAGACCGGAGGTTAAAATGGTGGTGACGGAGAGAATTTTTGCCACCAAAATCGGTTTTGAGTATTAACGAAATATAAACTTCGGGTGAGAAAGTAGTAATTTGAAACTGTTGGGGTGGAAAGGGTCATTAAGGGAAACCTTGGGTGTGAAAAAAGTTTACTCTAGAAAAAACCTAGGCATTAAATGGAGGGTGTTGGAACTTGGAACTAGAACTGAGCCTTCCCATTTCAAATATATTGTATAACTCTATAAATGAGTTTGGTTTGAGTTTTAAACAACCACATTATTAACTCGAAATATCATGCCAAAAAAATAAAAAACTGTAATTTGGATTAGTGGATATTTGCTGTCTTCATGTTAGTTTTAATGTTAAACTTTTCAACTTCCAGAATGGCATTAAAGTCCAAGCTGATAGCATTTAAAGCCAGTATCTTTTCTTGGTTACTGTAATAAAATGAAGTGCATCAGAAACAGAGTTTGAGAAGCAGAAAGTCTCTTCTTTACTGGGTTCATCTACTTGCATCCACATATACTATTTTCGTACGACTCAACAATTGGATTGAAAATTTGATATCAAACCCAACAATGGATAAACGGATGGGGAATGCAAGTGGCAGATTATGATAGAAGATGGGGAAGTGCACCCATCTGAGTAATCACAAGACAAAACTCTCAACACCCTCTTGTCTTCACTTGCACCTGCCCAATATTTTCTTCAGAACCACTTGTTTCAATTATGTACGTGTAAACTCCCAATTACTAACCAGGATTTTGTTTTTTTATACCCCTTAATTTCAAATTTGAAACTTACTTTTATTTTTTCTTCATATATATATACATTATTGTGAAAATTTAGATTTAGATTAATGTAAAAGTTAAAAATTTAAACAAATTAGAGAACGAGTAATTTTAGAAATTTTTATATCATCAAACTTAAACAACTTATCAACACAAAATTACTCATATAAGTTTGTGGGCTAAATTGAACCTTACTTTAACAGTACAAGCCCAAGAAGAAGTTTGAACAGAGGAAATCGACCACTTCTAAAACTTGTCAGAGTTCAAAATTTTCTTCTCCTATTTATACAACATATTAATTTCACTTTCAAGCAAAATCAAAATGACGCCTTTGAAATGGTGTTAAGAAACTTGAAATCAAATAAAACTACTTGGCTCATAATAAGAGAACAAAAATTGGGGGCATAATTTGAAATTATTGGATGAAACACAAACTAAAATTAGTTCAATTGGAAGCAGAAATTGAAGCACATCCTACGTTTTACCAGGAAAAGGAAAGTCACAATGCAAATTTTAACTATTTCTTCATCATCATCATATCTTGTTTTTATACCAGTACACACCTTTGTTTTGGTCTTCGCCTTCCTCTGGCTCGACATACATACACTCCTTTGTCTCCCTATACATTGCCTTGAAGACTGAGGTCCCATCGTATTGGTAATATTCTCCTAAAATTGGCTTGACTGCCTTGGTCGCCTCCTCGGCGTGATAATGTGGCATAGTAGAGAACAGATGGTGTGTTACATGAGTATCTGTTATGTGATGGAAGACCTTGTTAAGGATTCCGTAATCTCTATCGACTGTTGCTAGTGCTCCTCTAAACCAGTCCCATTCGGATGAGTCATAATGAGGCAATGAAGGGTGAGTATGCTGCAAGAAGGTAATTAGAACAAGAAATCCATTTACCACCAACAATGGCCCTCCGTAAACACACAGCACCCAACCAAGGCCTTTTGCTAGTACAAGACGGTAAAGACCATATGTAATAGCTAAAATGCCCGCATCAGAAATGAAAATTTGGAGCCTCTCACGATCTGAATATATAGGACTTTTAGGATCGAAGTGACAAGCGAAGCGATCATAGTGCCTGCCTGAAACATTGAATGCTAAGTACAGCGGCCATCCAAGCGTGAGCGTTGTGATCAGAGTGAAGATTCGACCAGGTGGGTTGTTAAGGTACTTGGAATACCATCTGATACCAGTTTTCTGTTTTGGGACGAAGACTTCATCCCTTTCGAGAGAGCCCGTGTTGGAATGATGGCGGCGATGGCTATACTTCCAGGAGAAGTAAGGTACAAGCAAGCCAGAGTGAAGGATAAGACCAACAGTGTCATCAAGCCATTGATAGTCACTGAAGGCATGGTGGCCACATTCATGAGCTATGACCCAAACACCAGTTAAGATGCAACCTTGAACGGCCCAGTAAACCGGCCAGGCCAGATAAGAGAGAGTGGGCGGAAGCATTGGAATGTAAGATGTTGCAGCATAAAACAAGAAAGCGGCGATAGTGAGGTCATAAACAACATATGAGAATGACCGGATAACAGAACGCTGGAAACAGTGAGGTGGGATTGCTTTCTTGACCTGGCTGAGAGTGAATGGTGGCTTCGAAACCGGAACTCGCTTCAGGGGGTCAGTTTCCACCCTCTTGGTGGCGGATTGAACCGCTCTACCACCTGCACCCATTGTTCTGCAACCTGGAAGCAATTTTGTCAGTGAAACCATAGGTATGAATAGAGAAGGAAAGGTTGATAGAATACAACTTTATGAAAACAAACACCTACTTAAAAAGATGCTGAAACATTTAGGCCTAATTGGATTAAGTTTAGAAAACAACTACCTGCTTCACAAATTCAAGTTGAAAGCTGAGAATTCTCCCAATTGTTACAAGCAAATTAGGAAATTTTAGTTGGAAACTGAGACTCCTAAATATAAGGTTACAATCTTTGAGTTGTACATAAAGTCAAAACTTCCTGTCTCTTGTCCTAATGGTTTACAACTGTTTAACCAAAATTTTTGTAATTCTTTCTCTAGATTAGGAGTTGTGAAATTCTTCATCATCCTATATTTGGGAATACGGATTGAAATTTTATTTTTTAGTATATGGTTACTTTTAGAATCAAACAATTACTTTTAGAATCAAACAATTACTTTTAGAATTTAAAAAAAAAAAAATTAATATATCAAACCTCACGCTGCTGACGAAAAGTACATATAATCTAAGATTACGGGGGACCTATTCTAGGTAAAAGGTGTGTATAATCACTAATGATGTCATGTGAGGCTGAAATCAACCCGAAATTAGGTGAGATAAAGCGTGTAAAGTGCACTCATACAAATAGTGTGTAGTGTGAGGTGGTGACCTTTTCTTTAAGATATTTGTATGGTTTGGCCATTCATGTTTAAGCACATTCAACGGTATGTCTTCTACCGACAAAACAATATAAAAGTTCCAACTTGAGATCAACTTTTGATTACGACTCAGATTGATAAATCTTAACCATACATAAACAAAAATCATATAAAAAATATCATAAATCAATAAGGACAACTGCAAGGTGCACATGCACTTGCCCACTAGGGTTTACAAAAGATTTAACATTTGACGTTGTGATGTTAAAATCTTGGCTCCATTCTAAAACTATATGCAATGAATCAAGACAAGTAAATTCAAATTTATAAACGTAATTGACGGACCTGGCCGGCTGCATAATAAACTAAACTTCCTAAGTTCCACGAAAATACCAATAAAATTTATTAACGTATTTAATCAAGCTTTCGGCGCCTCCTCTTTGAGAAAAGATTGGAGATGCCCATGTGCATATCTCACACGCCAATCATACCCGTCACTTGTACTGATATAATTGGCTTGTCAGACATGCACATAGCCAACACACAAATTTTTTCCTACACAATTTCCAATAAGATGGATCCTCGGGACTTCAAATTCACACGACAAAGTTTCCAGTAAAACAGATATAAAAATTTATTTTATCAGAAACTTATCAATCATGAAATATTAAGGGAAATACATGAAAATGGCAATACATTATTCATTCTACCTAACAAACAGGATTAATTAATTAAATTTTGACTAAGATATTACATACATGAGAGACGTCTAACTAAGACTTAATGACTTTTTAATTGACATTAGAACAAAAAGTAAGCCAAGATCTAAGTTTGTAATTATGATTATAGTTTACGTGCAACACATCTTTCTTCGAATACCATTCTGACTAATATTAATCACCTTCAAACCCCACAATCTTGACCTTGGCCTGGCGGCTGAGGCTCCAACGAGGAACAATTTGTATAGTAATCATTTGATTTGAACAACTTTGATAAGACCACTAACCTCCAAACTTTGTTCACACAAAAGAGAAAATTATACTAACCAAAATTTTAAATTATACCTAAACATACAGTTTCAAAATCATGAAGTTATGAATCTTGAAAGTTGAGATTCAAAATTTTCTATAATAGAAAAAATAACGAAACAAATCGAAACACTTAATATAGATTGAACTTCAAAAACGTACATCGAAATCTGTAAAATTATGTAAAATAAATTGATAATAATAATTTCAACAAGACAAAATAGATTTCACAGTCACAGAGACACAAACAAAGGCCGTATTACTGTTGACTTAAATAGCTTGATAAAGACTTCATTCCATTTCAATAATTCAAAAAAAAAAATTCAAAAAAAATCAACAAAACAGTCCTACGGATCCAAATCTTCAAAAAGAAACAAGAAAAATTGTCACAGTGGAAATCTGAAATGAAACTAAAGATTCCGAAAAGACACTCAGATCGGCCGTCTCGAACGTACAACAAACCAGAAAAACAAAATATATCAGCTACATTGCATCGGAAACAAACTCAGTAGCTCAAAACACGCAGCTTCCGAAACGTTTCGGAACCGAAATTTAAACTGAAAGACGATCTTGACGCACAGATCTAACGATGAGGAGGTTGTGAAACAAATACCTGAAGAAGATGATTACGACGAGTGAGTACAAAACGCTCTCTCTGTCTCCGGTGGCGGAGTCGGTGGTGGTTGTAGTGGTGGCCGTTCTGTAGAGTGGCCGGCCCTTGCAACTCTGAATGCGCGAAGGCTTCGCTATTTAACAACATATTTCCCACCTCCGGTGGGGACCACCTTCCCTCAACATGTTCGTTGGATTTTTCTGGGCAATGACGTGGCGTCAGATCGATGGCTCCTTTAACATCTTTATTTCGATTTTTTCCCCTGATGGAATATGTTCATGGTTTTTTTTTATTGGTGTTATCTTTGGATCCTGTCCGTCAGTTTTTAGATCTCTTGTTTTTTTTTTTAATTTCTGACGGTTAAGATCTTACTATCAGTTGGAAAATATCTCGCGGTGTATCACGTGAGTGGCAGATTGTGGGCTTTTATTTATTTTATTACTACTTTACTGTAAAAAAATTCCCTGACTGCCCCTTATATTTGTTATAATTACTTATGACCCTTACACATTTTAAAATATTCTAACCTCCTTTGAAGTTCATGTAATTGTTTTTGACCCCGTGAGGTTCAACATTATAACTACTGTCAATATGTGCATATTACTTTTAAAAAAATATTGATAATATTTTTCATGTATAACATATTTTTTTTATTAAATGAATATACAAATAACATAGTATATACTATGTACAATATATCTTAATTTTTTTTAATAATATGTGAAAACCTTAATAATGAATCACGCTAAATAGGCACATAGCCACATAATTGAACCCACTCAACTTTTTTAAAAATTTAAAAAAGTCTTAAAATTTTATGGATTTTACAATTTTGTTCTCATTTAACTTCATGTTGACTCGACAAAAATGAATAAATAATTAACATTTTTTTTTTTAATTTTTCTCTCCTCTTCATTTACTCTCATATTATCTTTTTCTTTTAGTTGTATACTCAAAAAAAAGTTACTCATTTGAATTACAAGGTAAGATGATGTTCATTTTATTTTATTATTTTTACTTAAAATTCTTTTCTTTTAGTTTTCTTAATTGATGAAATATCATGAGTTATGATTTTTTGTTGAGTTTAACAAATAGGTTTGAAATTGGAAGATTAAATTCATAGATTTTGATGTGGGTTTTGATTTAATGTTGTTTGTGTTGAGGTATGGGTTAATTAGTTGTTGTTTTGAGTTGAGTTTAATAAATTTTGGTTAGTTATTGAGTTAATTTTGAATGGTTTACAGAATTGATGAAACCCTAAATTATAGAGATTTGAGGATTTTGTTTAATTTTGATATATTGGTTAATTGTTTGATATCTTGCTTAAATAGTTAATTACTTGATATTTAGAATTGATGGAACTCTAAGAATTGTCAATAAAGCAATCATGCAACATTTTCAGAATATGAAAAATCGTCGAGGACAATTTTAAAATTGATAATTTGGTATGTAAAACTTTTAGAAGTATATTTTTTATGCTTATTACTTTAATATATATTTTATTATAAATTTATCAACTTTGATGTTTTGAATCTATTTATTAAAAATCCTGACTACGCCTTAATGTTAAAGCATGTATATATTAATAATATTTTTTTAAATCTAAGGCCTACCCTTAATGGGGCTAGATCCGCCCTGTATATAACTATGGAAACAATAATAAATGAGGAAAGAATTTTAAGCAGGATCTGGATTTTATTTTAATTTTCGAGTAAAATAAAACAAACCCCAAAATATACTTTAAATACCCTCTTTTAAATAGAAGATTAAATTAAATTATGAGGTTGACCTGTATGCGTTAAATATAAAATTAAGGTCTCTTGGGTTAAATTAAACAAATTGAGGGTAATATTCACAATTTTAAGTGTGTGAATAGAGTATAATATAAAATTTAAGATTTCTTTTTTTAATAACTAAGGTATCAAGCACAATTGCTAGCCGAGCCCACCTAACCCTCGTAACCATGAAACACCCTACGAGCCTAATGAACCAAAGTAATTACATAATTGTGGTAAGTATCTTTATTGTGACTTGAATACAATACCTCCTACAAGTCTAATGGATCAAAGTAATTGAACAATTGTGGTAGTTGTCTCTCCTGTCGACTTGAATACAAAACCCTAGTGGTTAAAGGATTTGTCATCCGACCACAAGAGAAGAGATAAATTTGTTTATGTAAAAAGAGAGTGTGTAGACTTTATAGTATATTTGGAATAGAAAATAATACAGTTACCGAAGGATGCGCACCGAATTCGTGCACCAAATGATGCAACGTAATCTTAACCGTCGATTAATATTAATTCATAATTAATCGATGGTCAGGATTTTGTCACGTCATTCAGTGTACGAATTCAGTGCGCATCCTTCAGTAACTGTAGCATTACTCATTTGGAATTAACATTTAATATTTATAATAATCTAATAGCAAAGTAAATATAAATATAATGATCCCATCATAGCTTGAAGATGTAAACTCAAATGGGGTTTCTTTAAAAAAAAAAAAATTATATAATATGAATTTGGGGAGGCAATTTGAATTGTAATGGACCTACATGTAACATATTTTAATATAACCAAAATTGACATTTTCAACTAAATTAATATTATAGTAGGGTAGAAGAGAAAATCTTCTTTGATTAGTAAATTTGACAATTTCTAGCTTATTTTCTTATTTTAATGAAGAATTATTTGACTTAATTAACAAAATTTTGTTTGGTGCACTAGACTAGTTAGTTAACCGTTAATCATTCATTCTAATTTATTGAGTTTAATTTTTCTTTTCCTATCAATTTTAACGTTTATAAGAATAATATTATTATTTTCACCAAATAAAACTATTTTGAAAGAAAACCAAGTTAATTTGAAAGTAATATTGGAAGCAAAAACACGTTTGACATAGGATTGGTAAACTCTTATTAAAGCCATTATTTTCTTTATCATTCAAGTATTGGATTGTCCCATTTTTTTTTTTTTTTAATTTTAATTCTTTTGGAAATCCATCCAATACTAATTAAGGAGAATATCCAAAAATTTAATCAATAAAGAATTATTAATTATTATTAATTAAACATTGAAACTGTTTCTAGTACTAGAATTTTGAAAAAGCACCAAAATTGACCTTGAATGGTAGTTAAAATGACATTAATTATTTGTTCAAGAGATTTGTATTTAAAAAAAATAAAAAAAATAAAAAAAAAAAACTAAATTTACATATATGTAAGGCATACCCAATAAAACTTACAAGTAAATCGGATATAAAATGGTGACTAGCGTTGTTGTTTCCATTTCTTATATAATTTCAAGACCACAATAGATCTATAATAAGATTGTTTATTTACAACGAATGGTATACAAAGTCAACAAATCTAAATGAATACAAAAAATAGGATTTATTGCTGCAAAAACTAAGGGTGTGGAAATCTAGTTAACCGAATTGCCCACTTTTCAAATCGAACCAGTTTTTGGGTTCAAAGGATAATCTGAACCGAAACCGGATTGAATTATCCTTTGAACTGGTTATTAACCGAATCAAATTATCAATTCGATTACCGGTTAACTGGTTTTAAAATTCCTTTAATAAAATTTGAAGTTTGACTATTTAGAATAGTAAGGACACCAAATGGGCTTACATAACCCTAAATCATGTCTTACATAACAAGCAAACCAACACCGAGATGCACATAATCAATCTCACTTAATCTCAGATTGAGACATCTCATAAACAAAAACGCAGAGCTTCCAAACAAACCCTAATGCTAAAAATCTACCAAACCATCGAAGAAGAAGAAGGTTGAAGTTCGATCAAGGCGCTTCTCGCCTCTTATCCAAATCCAAACAGAAAAGCATGGTTCTAAAACCTGGCTTGGCCCGGTCGGTTGAACCGGTTTGACCGGGAACCGATGGTTAGACCGAGTTGGTTAATATAAAGAATTAGAATTAGCATTTGACCCGCTTCCGCCTGTGGTTGGACCAATTTTTTTTGCGACAAACCAACATAAACCGGGTCTGCTACAGTAAAATATAAAAAAATAATTGAAATTTTTTTATTATCATTGTTAAAAATTAAAATATGCAATTTTTTTTTTTTTTTTTGCTAATGTCAGTATACTTACGCCAACATGATGATGTTACAGTCCAACCCACCAGTCAGACTGTTCGACCTGTCAAACCTGTGACCTGGTGGCTTGGTTGGGTTGTTCCTGGTTGGGTTTTAAAACCTTGTAGAAAGGTGGTGAAGGAGAAGAAATGGAGAAGACGAAAAAGAAAAAGAAAGAGAAAAAGTGAAAGGACAAGAAGACGAAAAAGAAAAAGAAAACGAAATGTGGAGAAGGAGAGGAAGAGAGGAAGACGAAGATGATAAAAGAAAAGCGAAGGAGAGGAAGAGAAAAGTTGTGAAAGGAGAAGAAGACGGAAAAATAAAAATAAAAATTGGAGAAGCAGACTCAAGAAAAAGTGGAGTAGAAGCAGATTGCACTCTGCAGACCCAATATCCAACAAAAAGTGGGGGAAAAGTAGGGATGATTTTTTTTCTTTTTTTTTTCCAAAACTGGATCGGGTTAACTGGTTTGATATTGGCTTTAAATCGAAACCGAATCGATTAATTAAAAAACCGATTTTGGTCTTATTTTCTGGTTCGGTTCAGTTTTCAATTATTATTGAGAATAGTTCTAGATATGATCAAAGACCAACTGTTGTAGGAAATTTATTGAAACCATTAAATTCGAAATATGATAAAGTAGCTCCTGAATGGGACTGCTCCTTTGATGGGTGTCGCAGTGGCTCTATTTGCAATTGGCCCTATTTGCAATATTCCTATCTATTATTTTGGAGAGATTTATGATTCTTCCGTCTTCCGTACAAACTAATGTATCACAAATTGAATGGATGCGTTTTTACAAAATGTCAACTCCATAAATGTTCATGCCCCCACTGCAGTTGGAAAGCTCATTAATTTCCCTTCATTTTATACTTTTAACAAAAGGCCCCCTTTTAGTTATTAAGTCTTTGTGTCATCAATTTTTCTCTGTATTTTTTATTCTTTTTCGTCAACCTTCTAAATATATTTTAAGCTTCGATTTTTCTTTCCTCTTTTATGATTGAATATAGAGTTTATCAATAA